GGACAATTAAATAAATTAAAATTACTCAAAATTTTATTAAGATAACCTATATTAATTTCTAAGTAAAATATGTTTAGTATATAAAAAAATATATAATTATATATTTTTTAAACAAATTTATTAATTATTAGAGCTTAGATATACTCTGGACACTTGTGAACACTTGAACATTTGGATGTTGAACAGTACCAAAAAAGCCTTTGGACAGTCAAAATGTATAACACTGGTCTATATAGTGGATGCTTGGGTTTTGGTGAACTCTATAAGGGCAGAAGTAGATAATAATAATGGCTTTGACTTGCAAATACTTGTTTTCAGACTTGCTATAAGTTACTAAATCTAGGTTAGCCAGATTATGAGTATAGAAAGCTCTAGCAACGATGGCTCGAGAATAAAGTAGTCCTAAGGAAATGGATCAAGAATACGGGCCTTCTCAACTAACAAATATAGTGAAGATATAATAGTGATACAGATATAAGTTGTGTTACAGAGAATTTAATTGGGTAATTCAAGTAATAGTATGTTACAGATACGGCATCTAGTGTAGGACTTAGTAATAGGGAACTACTTAATTAGATATTCAAAAGGCATAGATATGGCTAAAATATACTCTCTAATATAAAAAGGGGTTCCTTTAAGACTTTGGCTACAAACTTTCAACTTAATACTTGAATAAAAACCTAGTCCCAAAGAGGCTAATTATAAAAAAAAATATATATATATTGATAATAAATTTTAGTTTTATCTGAAATTAATCTAAACTTAACAAAAAATATTTAGTATAATATTTTATACTAACTGTATTAGGACTGATAGTCTTTTGATCTGTCATATATAAGTGTTTAGAATAAATAATAAGAAAATTACAAATAAGGGCCCAAATTTAAAAATAATTACAAATAAAGGTCCAAAATAAAAATAATTACAAATAGAGACCTGATATTTGAAAATTATTACAAATAAGAGCCCAAATCTAAAAAAAGCTAATCTGCTACAAAATATCGTAATTAAATACTACTATAATATCATGATTAAATACTACCATAATATCAGGATTAAATACTATCATAATATTATAATTAAATATTACCATAATATCAGGATTAAATACTACTTTAATATTGTGATTAAATTGAGTAATCATTGTACCAATTTTTTTAAAAAAATTAATAAATTAAATAAACTAAAAATAAATCGTATATTATTTAATGAATAATTGCAAATTTATTATAATATTACTGCTTAAATATAATTACATAACTATTAAACACAATTATATAACTATTAAATGCAAATTTTCTTATTTAGCAGTTTTGTGTCTTCGACTACATGTATATGAATTATACTCTTTTTTATTACATTTTCTACAAATTACCTGGTTTTCAAATGCTGTCTCACTACGGTTACGTAAATGACTTTTTTATGATCGTCCTGCTTGTCTAAATGCAGATGGTGATAAAGTTTTGTTATCAAGAACATATGCTTTTGCATTAACCGGCTGCACTAATTTTTTATAAACACTTTGAAGAATATTAGTATAATAAGTAATGTAGATGAATTGTGATAATTTCTGGTGTGTTTTAAGAATAGTGGCACAAGCATATACACAAAAAAAATGGTACTCTTGAAATTGTTGATATGTATATATTAGTGAAATCAGATTCACAATACGAAAGTTATTACTGTTATTTTTAACTTTGAAGACCAATTCATCAATTTAATAAACCATTCGATTATGATATTTGCTAACAACAAACTAAAGTTACTGAGTGGTTGCTTGTAGCAATACTATTTGCACTGAAGCATATGTTATATAATGATTATAGTAAAGTATATTAACTTTGCAAATAAGTAAAATAATTGCTTCAAAAGATTCTACAAGGCACTCATTATATACTTATGAATTAAAAGATTCAGACATATTAGAAATAAGATATCTAAATCTATTTCAAGGACATTTACTTAGAGTTCATATTGCTAGAGGTATTTTACTTAATAGGCGATTCTTCAGTCACCTGGTTCAAAATTTTTTTTTTTATATATAAATTTTATTATAAGTGCGAAAGTGCAGTGCCCCTATTTAAAACTTTTTTTTTATTAAATAAATCATTCTTGGGTATATAATAAAAGTTGTAGAGCTCATCAAGATGCATCTAATAGTGAAAGAATACTGAAATTGGTCTGGTGGTTCTTGAGAAATCTTTAAAAAACTTCTTTTTTATATATATGTAAAAAAGAAGTTTTTTAAAGATTTCTCAAGAACCACCAGACCAATTTCAGTGTTCTTTCACTATTAGATTCATCTTGATGAGCTCTACAACTTTTATTATATATCCAAGAATAATTTACTTAATAAAAAAAAAGTTTTAGATAGGGGCGCTGCACTTTCGCACTTATAATAAAATTTATATATAAAAAAAAAAATTTTGAACCAGGTGACTGGAGAATCGCCTATTAAATATGTTATTATTGCATTAATGGTTGTTGACTAAATTAGCTTGGAGTCAAAGAATCTAGCAGAAGAATCTTTGACATAAAAAGAGAGAAAGCAGTTTTGAAATTATCGGAGGATAATTCTGATGATTCGGATTCACATAATGAATCCGATGAATCAGATTATCACGACGATAGTTTCGAAGCAAGCACATCTAAAAATGTGCATTATCTCTCGGCCAAAGATCTATCAACACCATTAGCCAAAAAAAACCAAGACATCATAATTTAGGATTGCGTTGTTTTCAAAACTAGCTTTTGTATTTGTGTTCTATTTCACTGAATAGAGAATTTTTTAATAAAGTTTAAATGCTAAAACATTGGCCAAAACTGAATGGGAATGCCTCCCGTATATAAAGTTTTAGTATCTATGTTTAAATTGCATCTATATTATTGTGAATCTTGATTAAAACCTAGCCGAGCGGAGCGAGGCAAAACATAAAAAACTTAAAACTCAAGCAAAGCCAAGAATTTAGAGATGGGAAATCAGTTTCTCCAAAAATCCCGCGCGTGATCCGCGGGATAGTTACCGGGATTACAGCAAATTTCGGCCGGAATTATGGTATTGGCCCGAATTATTGACCGGGGTAAAATCCATCCAAAAAAGTTTCGAGCATCACATGACAAGTATCCAAAATTCATATAGACTTACAAAATAATAACGATAAGCAATAAATTAATCATTTTATTTATTTCGAACAAACTTAAGAAACGTAATATTTATTACAGTCAGAAAGTATTATGATTACGGATTTTTAAGTATTTGGAATATTCCATTGCCTCTTAAAATGATTATAATATATTTTAGTACTTTTAAGTTTATATTACTTCACAAGATCTGCAGACATCAATGTCTGTGAAGCCACAGATAATATATATTACGTCACAAGATCTGCGACATCGACGTTTGCAGATCATGTGGCTTCTGTGGCTTCACAGACATCGATGTCTGTGAAGCCACAGATAATAAATATACGTCACAAGAACTGCAGACATCGATATCTGTGAAGCTACTGATAATATATGTGGGGCTGATGCTGATGTCATTGGGTGCGTCAGTTGGGTGCGTCAATAAATTTGACAGTAATGATTTACTTAATACGTATAGGGGTCGCTTAACGTTAAAGCCAGTATATTTAGTATAAACTTGGAAATAATCTTCATGCTGCATAAATTATATTCTATCCCCTTAATATAGTGATAGAGGCTTTTTTTTCGTTGCCCCCAAAGCGTATTTTTTAGTATTATAAAACCTGATATAAAAGGTTCAAATAAAAAAACTCGATATAGTAACCTTACTATACTCTTACCGGCATTACAAAATCCGATATGAAAGTTTGACATTTCAAAAAAAGAAAAAAAAAGTGATTTTTTACTCTTAGCGATAATAAAAAAAAACCCCGACGTAAAAAAGTTTGGCATTTCAAAAAAAAAAGTCTTACCCTTTGCGACATTACAACAGGAAGCCTATATGGGCATGGGGATTTTGTGCTTACACCAAAAAAGAAAGGTTATTATCAATTCAGAATTTTTTAAAGCGTAAAACATTCCTTAACTTTTCATACTATTATAACAAGGAACCTGCGGAAATGAACTACTCTTAACGACGCTACAACTAGGAAACCTAATGTAAAGTGGGTAGGTGGGATTTGTGCTTACGGCATTCTAAAAAAAATGTTAGTATGTGTCAAATTGAAGCAAGAACCCTTTTCACACCAATTTATGACAAGGAACCGGCGGGAAATTTATTTAATTACAACTTGTTAGGAAGCCAAATGGAAGATGGACATGCGGGATTTGTTTTACGCCCCAAAAAAAGTTAGTCTGTACCGTGTCGTTTAGAATTTTATCGAAGCGTAAAACTTTTCTTACCCTTTTCACGCCATTATAATAGGGAATCGGCGGAAACGGACTTACTCTGCAACAACGGGACGCCTTAATTGGTGGGTGGGAGTGCGGGATTTTATGCTTATGGCTTCAAAAAAAAAAAAAAACGTTCATTAATTCAGAATTTCACCTTTTACACCATTATTGCAAAGAACCTGTGGAAATGGATTTATCTTCGTAATATTGCAACAGGACGGCCAAATGGAGGGTGGGAATGTGGGATTTTTGTGCTTAGGGCTCCAAAAAAGGTTAGTCCGTCAATTCAGAATTTTATTGAAAAGTAAAATTTTCTTACCTTTTCACGCCATTATGACAAGGAACCTGCGGAAATGAACTTATCTTTGTAACAACAGGACGCCTATTTTTGTGCTTAGGGCTCCAAGAAAAAAAAAAAGCGGTTAGTCCGTCAATTCAGAATTTCTTGAAGTGTAAAATTTTACTTACGTTTTTCACGCCGTTATGACAAAGAACCTACGAAAATGGACTTATTTTTGCAATATTTCAACAGGATGCCTAAATATAGGATGTGAATATGGGATTTTTTTATGTTTAGGGCTCTAAAAAAAAAAAAAGGTTCGTCAATTCAGAATTTGCTTTTCCCACCATTATTACAAGGAACCTGCGGAAATGGACTTTACGATATTGCAACAGGACGGCCAAATGTAAGATGGGAATGGGGATTTTTGTGCATAGGGCTCCAAAAAATGGTTAGTCCATCAATTCAGAATTTTATTTGAAGCGTAAAATTTTCTTACCCTTTTCACTTTTCACACAATTATGACAAGGAACCTGCTGAGATGAACTTACCTTAGTAACAACAGGACTCCTAAATGAAGGTTGGGAATGCGCGATTTTTGGTTTAGAGTTCCAAAAAAAAAAGCTTAGTCTGTCAATTCAGAATTTTATTGAAGCGTAATATTTTTTCTTACCCTTTTTCACGCGATTATGACACATGTAAAAACTTACTTTATTCACACCATTATGAAAAGAAACCTAAATAAAGCGGAGATCGGCTGCTCAAAATAAAAAAAAAACAAGGTTGGGTTGGGCATGATCCTGTTTCCTTTTTTTTTTTTTTTGCTTTTAAATATGAATGCATATTTTTTAATGCCATTATGGTGGAAATCCAAATGAAGGGGTTAGAATTTTATAGAATGGTTAATTGCTAGTTAATTTTTTTAAAAAAAAAAAAAGGTCAGCACGTGTTCGGAATTTTCCGAGAAAACCGTCAAAAAACTTCTGGTGACGATTTTTTCATGACGAAACCAATCATATTTCATATCAGGTTTAACGTAAATCACACATATTTACTTTCTTTGAAAAAATCACCAATAACTCGGAATTTCTTATAAATTACCTCCTGTAAACTAATGTCAAATCTTTCGCTTTACTACTTTAAATCTTTCGCTTTACTTTAAATCTTTCATTTTAAAAACTTTTGCTTTACTGTCATTAAATCTTTCGCTTTACTATATAAGTCTGTCACTTTATTTTTTAAATCTTCGCATTTTTTAAATCTTTCGCTTTATTTGATTTTAAAATATAGTATCTCTGATTGGCTTGTGTCATTGGGGATGTATGTCAACTAAGTAAATCAAAACTATATGTGGTCACTAATGTCGGAGCTTACTGAAATTTTTTTCATTAGTATGATTAATCAGTAATATACTGTATTTATATATAAAAATATATAAAATTATGTACTTTTTATATATAAAAATATATAAAATTGTGTACTTTTTTTAGATGCACAGGTTGAAATTTTCTTTTTTTGCAGAAAATCTTGATGCCAATCAACCCTTTCCTATCCCAGTAACAAAATTACAGTGCTATTTTTTACATTATATGGAGAACGAATTTTTTTCTTATTTTATGTGTATTTGTTGTTTGGATAATCTGGACGAAATTTAGGCTTCCGGCAAAATTTTTTTAAACAAATATAAAATTTGGCTCTGTAACTTGCATTACGGAAACCTTCTATCGATCTATTCAAAGCTTGGAATTCTAATTTTTTGTTGTAAGAGCCCTGCATCTAAATCTTTATCACGAAAAAATTTTATAGCAAAATTTTATATTATACCATATATAGTTTTGATTTACTTAGCTGGCAGACAGCCCCATTGTGTCATGAGATAACGCCTGTGGCTCACCCACAACAAATTTTTCGGTGTGCGATTTTAGCGAATTAGATCGAAAGATTAGGTGTAATATGAAAATCACGCATTTTGAAAATAACTCGAAATTTTGTCTATGAAGTTGCCTTCTGCATTCTTACAAAAAATTACTCGCGAAATTTGGTATAAACTATGCTCTTCCTTTGCCCTAATCACAACCTTAAAGATGTGGTTTATTGATTTAATCTTTCGCTTAATTTGATTGTTTTGATTTTTACGTTACCCCTGATCATTTGATCTAATTGGCTAAAAAGCATGTCCGGAAATTTTTTGTGGGTACCAACAATGTTGGGAACAATAATATCACGTGCACAGATCATAGTATGTATATAAACACAGTTGTTTACATTTTTTTTTTTTTTTTTAGTCAAACATACCCGCGATTCCGAAAATTCCTGAATCACCAGACGAATACCAATCTATTGCTGCGTATCTCCAGTCAGCGATTTTTCCAGAGAATTTTCGAGGTACTACGGATAAATATATTTTATAAGGCATTGTAAAAAGTTCGAAGTGGATGAAAATGGTGTTCTTTACCTCTTGGCCGTGTCTAAAAATGGTGATGTCAAAAACGAAAAACGTCGTGTAGTCCCCCTATAAGATACAGAGCTGCGCACTTTGTTATTAAATCATTTTCATGAGCAAGCTAACCACAGTTGCTATCATAAAACATTTGTCGCGCTCTCAGAAAAGCATATAGGCATTATGCAGAAAGATGTACAAGAATATATTAACAAATGGGGTGAGTCACTAGAAATCAAGCAAATTATTTTTATTAAATTTTTTAAAATATTATACATTAATAATTTAACCAAAACTTGATCAAATTTAATAAAAATTTTTTTAAATAAATTCTATAAGTTTGTAGGATTTATTTAAAAAAAAATTTTATTAAATTTGATTAAGTTTTTGTTAAGTTATTATTGTTTAAAGTTTTAAAAAAATTTACTTTAAAAAATTTGCTTGATTTCTATTGACTCAACCCCAAATGTCCTACCTGTGCTATTAATAGTTCAATAAAAGAAAAAACGGACATGAAACCTATTATCTTAATGGCACCCTGGCATCATATCCAAATCGATCTAATTGACTTTCAGGATTATTCTAAATTTAACTATGGATTTGCTTGGCTGTTTACCTGTATATGCATATTTTCAAAGTATTTAATCACTGTTTCTATGAAAATAAAGAAAATGGTACTGTCAAAATGCATCTTGTAAAAGATGTATTTAAGATTTTTAAAGTGTTCGTAGGACAAATTGTTATACAAGTTTGTAAAACCTTAAATGTTATGATCAAACATGAGTGGCCCCATCACCACAAACCCAAGGACAAGTAGAACGTCTTAATCAGACTATCGACTGTGGATTTACACAATTGTTGTAGAATAATAACAATCAATTGCAACAAAAGACTGGATTAATGTTATCAATACGTTTGTTATATTGTATAATTCATCAATTCATAGGGCTCATAGTCGAACACTACATGAAATTATGTTTGTATGGAAAGTGCATGGTGTTTATAAAACACCTAGTACTTTTCAATTAGAAGAAATAGTAGTAGCAGAAACAACAGCAGAGGCAGAAGCAGCAACAGAGGCAGCAGCAGAGGCAGCAGCAGAGGCAACAACAGAAGCAGCAACAGAGGCAACAGCAAAGGCAACAGCAAAGGCAATAGCAGAGACAGCAGCAAAGGCAGCAGCAGAGGCAGTAGCAGAGATAGTAGCAGAAGTAGCAGCCGAACAACAACAGAAATACCTGAAATAAAAATGGCAAGGAAACGGCTATTGAACAACGCATAGTTCAAATATCAAAAATTTAACAATCTGTAAATAATGCATTAGAGAAATATTGTGAAAAATGTGCCAGTATGGAAGTGTTCACTGAAAGAAAACACAAAGCAATACTATTGAACCCGGAACTCAGATTATTATCACACTGGATCATGGCACAAACCCACAAATCTGAAAGCGAAAATTGTAACCAGTGTTTTACTAGATGGCATATTCAAATGATTAACCTCCAATAACTATACAGCAATCGTTGAAGTAAACAGCAAAGATATACCAGTCCCTATTAAAGGAATTAAAATTAGGCAATAAAACCTTTTTTAAAAATTTTATTTTTAAAAAAATTTTTTTAAAGTAAAAATTTTAGATTTTAAATAATTTTTTTTGAAATTTTTAGTTTTTTTTTTCTGAAATTTCTAAATTTTATTTTTTATTTTTTTTTAAATTTTTTTTTAAATTTAAAATTTTTTATTTTAAAAGTTTTAAATTTTGTAAATATATACAATTTATTGTTTCTTATAATAAAGTTTTACACTTTGACTAAAATATTCATAAAGAATAAAATTGTGACAAACCAAATCGTTAGATTCTTTGTCATATATAAAAATTAAAATTCTCTATCAAACAAAAATGAATAAATAAACTACAAACTATACATGGGTGCCATCTTAATAAAAAAGTAATTACGGCATTTAGGCAGCCGAAATTAGTCTTATGTAGTGCCGAAATTATTTTTCATATTTGCCGAAATTATTGCCGAAATTTTCTGAACTCTTTTCATTAAAATACATCATATAATATAGTTATTTTAAAGGGCTTCATATAAAAAATTTAGTAATGCCGAAATGTTTGCCGAAAATACTATTTTTCAAAAACAATTTCGGCACCCATGTATACTACAAACTAAACCATTTTTTTAATATTTCTGAATAAGTGAAAAAATCTTCAAAACTATTAAGTTCCTTTTTTTTTAAATGCAGATTCATTCTTATCATAATGGCATGAAAAAAGGTATGAAAAATTTTATGCTTTAATAAAATTTTGAATTGATATAGACTATCTATGTTTTGGGGCTATAAGTATAAAATCTATCCATCAAGTTGTAAAGTCGTTAAGAATAAGTAAAAAGAGAAAAAAAACCAATTTTTTGAATATAAACAAAAGTTATGCATACCCAACCTCCATTTAGACTTCCCAGTTGTAATGTTGTTAAGAGTAAGTTTATTTCTGTAGTTCCTTGTCATAAATTGGCATGAAAAGGTAAGTTCTTGTCATAAATTGGCGTGAAAAGGTAAGAAAAATTTTATGCTCTAATAAAATTCTGAAATGATACAGAATAACTATTTTTGGGCCATAAGCATAAATATTATATACCCAAAATTTAGACTTCCCAATTTTTAATATCGCTAAGAGTAAGTTTATTTCTGTGGTTCTTTGTAATAATTTAGCATGAAAAGGTAAGTTTTTTATATTTTAATAAAATTTCAAGATAACACAAACTGTCCTTTTTTTTGAACCATAAACACAAAATCCCATATGTAACCTCTATTTAGATTTTTTATTTTTAATATTGCTAAGAATAAGTTTATTTTCATAGTCTCTTGTTACAAATTGTCATAAAAATTTTTTTATTCTTCAATAAAATTCAGAAATAACAAACTTTTTTAGGAAGCTGCAAACACACAAACCATTTGAAAGTCTGAACATCATCAGAAAATTTTGTGATAGTAAGCAATTAACAGACATAAAACATGGAGCTTTCGGAATAAAGCATAGATTACTTTCATGATAACTTACAGTAACTTAACAGTAACTCACCATTTTGGTAACTTACAATAAATTACTGTAATTTTACAACTCTGACCAGATCTATGAATTAATTCTACAAAATTATATTTATCAGAGCTATACTAATAAATTTTATCAAGATAATACTTACCAGAGTTATATATTAATTCTACCAAAATTATGTTTATTAAAGTTACAATTTAATTCTACCACTAATTAATTCTAGCTCCAAATTTACAAAATTTCATTAGCATTATAGTATTTTTTGATTTGAATGTATGATCTAAATTGTAACTCCTAAAATACTGAAATTTGATTTTAGAAACTAAATGTTATGTACTCAAAATTACACATACATAAAAAATTAATTTACAAAATTTATAGCAAAATTACATTAAAATTACACAAAATTGCAGAAATTTTATATCCCTATTTACCAGAGCTACATATTAATTCTACTAAAATTATACTTACCAGACTTACAAATTAATTTTACCAAATTATGCTTACCAGAGTTATGAATTAATTCTACCAAAATTATGCTTACCAGAGTTATAAATTAATTCTACCAAAATTATGTTTACTAGAATTATAAATTAATTCTACCAAAATTATGTTTACTAATTATGCTTATCAAAGTTATACTAATAAATTTTATCAAGATAATACTTACCAGAGTTACATATTAATTTTATTAAAATTATACTTACCAAAGTTACAAATTAATTTTCCAAAATTAGATTTACTAAAGTTATTTATTAACTCTACCAAACTATGTTTACCAGAGTTACTAATTAATTCTACCAAAATTATATTTACTAGAGTTACTAATTAATTCTACCAAAATTATATTTACCAGAGTTATGAATTAATTTACAATATTATGTTTACCAGAGTTATACTAACTAATTCTATCAAGATAATATTTACCAGAGTTATATAAAATTATACCAAAATTATACTTACCAAAGTTATAAATTAATTCTACCCAAATTAAGTTTGTCAGAGTTACGAATTAAATCTACCTAAATTATTTTTACTTGAGTTATAAATTAATTCTACCAAAACTATATAATTTGATCAAAATTACTAGTATTACAAATTAATTCTACCAAATTTATAAAATTATATTTACCAGACGTGCCAAGTACAGACCATATTATCTCTCTAGCTTAGGCTACTTGCAATAAATTTTTCAGTTAACATCACTTTTAGAATTCTTGGAAGAAGTGAAAAATAGATCACTAGTGAGACTATATAAACTTAGATTTTAAAAAATAATATAAATATATACAGGTTACAGAATCCATTGGTTTAAAGTAACTCATAGATTATTTATATTATGCTTTTAAAAACTTTGGCTTTTTTTTAGAATATATGGAATGAGTTTTACAATAATGAGAAATTGTGTTTGTATATTATGACAGGGTTATATAAATTTCAAGTAACTGCAGAATCTTAATTTTTATTAATTTTTATACAATTTACTATGAAATATTATGAAAATTGAATAGATTTTTCATATATCATGCAAGAAAAATTTTTGCTTTTCCTCTAATTTAAATATTAATATTATTCTCCTTATTTTGATTAATTTTTTTAACAGAATCTTGATTTGTGCTCTCTAAATAAAAACAACTACCAATATTTTTTTATATAATTCAATTTAGAATAAGATTAGAATTATTTTTCACTTAAGACATAAAAGTAGTTGTATTAATAAAATTTTGTGGTATAGCTCTTTAAGGTTTGTATTTTCTTATAATTTTTTATAAGATTTACAACATAAAAATTGATTTTTTAAAAATCTTTTTTTGTCAATTTCGTTCCTTTTCTCAGCACCTAGCCTATATCATCTATTTTTTTAGTTTTTTATATATATATTTAACTTTTTGTATTTTATATTTATTAAGAATCCTATACTATAATACTGTTTATATTTATATATTTTTTATAATTGTATTATTTTGCTACTATTTGGTCTTTTTTACTTTGGTAGCTTTTGTTTGTTCTGAGTTGTTTCTATTTTTGTTGGTTTTTTTTTTAAAAAATACTACTTCTGCTAATAGTGTATTGATTGTTTTTTGTTTTCTTTTCTTGTTCTTCTTGCTTAAACTAAACATTTTCTACTTCTTCTA